TTTTCCCTGCCATCTCTGTCTGCAAGTGTTCAATAATGTAAAATATTTACAACTAAGACAAATTATCAATTTTTAAGGATTAAGCATGCACTTTTGTGTTCTTATTTATCAGTGCCTATGTGTATGCACTCTTTCCTTCAGAACAGAACAAATAAATTTGTCGCATACGTTCTTGAGCCGAATCGTAGGCACCGGTGCCTGTGGCCGAACTTCTATCGCAAAGCTCAGGGACTTGATACGAATATTATCTACTATGTAGGGAAATTAGCTCAAGTGGTAGAGCGCTCGCTAAGTATGTGAGAGGTACCGGGATCGATACCAATGCGGCTATCGGGAGATCGAAGTGCTATCTATTTTTAGATTGACAGCTTTATTGTTATGCTCTTCTGCGTGGAGGTATATTTCTTCGTTTGATTTTCCTGGGTTTTTTTTTTACTTCTGCTATAGGATTTTTATTACATTACAACGAAGCATATCAGCTTTGCATATTTAAGCACAAAATGCAGTCATTATCAATTTTAACCTGCCGATTTCTTGTAATGTCATTGGACAAATGATATATACATGTGTTGATTGTTTTCTATACATTCTCAGTAATTCATACACAACTAAATATCATTATTATGCATGTAAGATATGATTATGTTCATATATTATGTTTAGCATGATCGAACATTTTATATATTGAAATGAAAATTTCTGTAAAAATTCGATATTAAGAGCAATTCAGTAAGATACAATATTACAATTTTTACACAGTGTATTATTGACCTAATATGGTATAGATATGGTACATCATATTTGTAGTTCGAGTTCAATATAGAATCATTAAAAGGAATTATTTTTTCAACCCAATACAGTGAAACAAATAAAAAAAATAACGCAAATTTATATTCATGAAATTCCAGTTATAAACTTGAAATTACATACTTATTTGTGAGCATAAACCCTCCTTCATGTTCAAGATCAGGCATGCCCATCTTATATGAAAACAAAGTTTAAAAGATCATAATTCAAGTATTTTTTGACATGTGAAATTTCAGTAATTAACTCAATCTTTATTAGTCAGCATTGCATTCAAAATGATACATGAATTTCAAACGTGTTTAATATTGACATGAAATATGGATACAAAATATGTCCAGAGCAAAATAAAACTATATTAAGCACTGTTTATATATAACCAGTACCTGAGGTACACATAAATGTGTCTTCTTATATAACAAACTTAAATGTGTGCTTGAGGTACGGGAGAAGGGGAAGTGAGATCATATGATTCACAATTTGGGTTAATCTAATGCCATTGAATTTTCCATCAAAATAGTTTTTGTGCTTTTGAAGGAGATATCAAAATTGTGAGGGACTTACTATCAAGGCACGAACGGATGGTGAAAACCATATAAGGTCATCCAGAGCTCACTTGGAAGATAGTATTTGTAGATTTGGTACAACCATGAACGATAAAGAAAATGATATTAAAACAAAAATTGTTGACTTCATATTGTAATAATTCATTCTGATTAACAAATTAGCATTACCAGATACTTAATCTTTAAAATTTCATTCGAGCGAAGCCAAATGTCAACTCGTACATCACATTGTCAAAATTACTTAAACTTTTCCCAACCAGTTTCGTTAAGAAAAAATCAATTATATTAGCTGTCTATGGTGTTATAGGCGAGAAAACAATTGAAGATAACGTAACAAATATTGCGTTTATCAGGGTCAGCTAGATGGATGAGAGAGAAAAAAAAAATAGACCACTCAAGTTTTCTCAAATACTACACCCACCTGAGGTTGTGCACTTGGAGATTACAATCCTGTCGAATTTCTGTCAAAATTTTTTTGTGCCGTTTTAAAAGATTCAAACTGCAACTATACGCGAAAATATGATAAACATGATTATATCAATTTGTTTATAGTTGTTTTTCCGTTTCTGGACAGCAAAATCCTTGCATCCACAATTATGGTGTTTACATGTCCCAGTTAGATTGATATTTCTTTATTTGATGTTGGTTATTCTTTACAGATAAGATGTGTGTAATAAAATGTTGTAAATATATATAACCTTTATATATATATATATGTTAGGTTTAAACGTCATATGCACAGCAAGACTACATATTGAAACAAACAAACAAAAAAACACGATAACACCAAACTATACATGCCAGCCATGACTTTCTGTAGAAACGCTTACAAACAATGTACACACACAATATCAGTGGACATCAGACAAGCAGGAAAGAAAACTATGGCAGAGGCAAGGAAATAGATGCATGGAGATGAAGACACATCCGTTCAAACAGGTGAAATGTGACTATACAAACAGGTGAAATGTGACAATACAACTTATTTTTATTATTATTATTTTCCAGAATATGAGAAAATCCCCACCGAAAGGCCTATAGGCCTGAACAGTCACCTCATCCATATATAGCCATGGTAGTTTTAATGACCCAACATGGGGTTACAATGATAAAAATGCATAGTTCAAAGCTGATTATGTTGTAGTGTATGACACTATCAACACGGAGGGAAGGGAGATAACTCGTGAATAGCTGTTTTATTATGTTTTAGTGCAATGAGAATAGCATTTAATACAGGAAGTCCACTATCAGAATTTATTGTAAACCATGATAAATAGTCAAACATTTATGGGGAAAATTCATATTCATATCAGTATATTCCGGCATACAGAGTGAAATGAGCCTATTTTGTATTGAGTGATAAAACCATTAGTGATCGACAAAAATAGCATGTTCACAAAATATGTTACTGACATAACTGTTAATGTTAACGGCTTCACACCATTAAATTCTGTCTAAGTATGCAGTATACAGGTATAAACAAGAATAAAAGTTCTGATTGTGTATTGGAATACTTTTGTATGATTAATCATATTGAATCACTCCTTATAAAGAGTTGCTGGTACATTTATGGTTTCTCTAACTTGGTTTTCAGTTTAGCTTCTTTGTGGTTTATTTTCCAAGAAATGAAGTCATAACAACACAACTATTCCCGGCCTTACCAAACAAACACTGAAACTGTTGTTATATCTTTTAACTGTCCGAATACAAACTAATTGTACCGTACCTGACGAAATGCATGCCATTTTATCTCGCCTAAAAATCTACATTCATAAGCGGCAAGTTATGAACATAGTTTTGGGAATTTAATATCATATTTTTATTATAGTTTTATACACTGTTTGTTGTCTGTTATAAAGACATATTTATGCAATGAGTCAACTGTAAGATTAGGTATTCACTCAGTATAGAATGGCGGGAAAGTTGTGTCGTCTGCTAGTATACAGATGTGATCTGGAATATCGGTAATTAGGTTAGTTTAAACATATATTAGTTGAAAAAAAATGGGTTGGACACAAGTTTTCAACTTGGGAACGTCCGTAAACAATTATATTAGAGTAAAAAAACATCATGACAGCATTTCATGATATAAGTAAATCTATGTTATATAAGTATATATATAAAGAAAACAAAAAGCTGTATACACATGGAGGATTACATCTTCTCTTTATCAGTAGTTCAGAGGATTTACTTGATATGACATAAATATATAAATTATGTTCACATGTAAATACGTATAAATGGATACATGTATATTCATAATTAAGTTTTTAGAATCAATTTCTGTATATTAATTTCAACATTTTATTAAACAATATTAATGATTTGATACTAAAGCAACTTTATGCAAGTCGATTCGTATCTTTAATTTGGTCTGGACAAACGTAAATTATCATTATCAGCCTGATTCAAATCAGCAGACCCGTTCAACAGTACATCTAGATCAACGTCTATGTTGTTTCTAGATAGTTTTCTATTTAGTAAGAACAGTCACATGCTGGTGATAAGATTAAATTACATTTAAAAAGATATCTATTCAAAGCCGAACAAACGTGACAGAGTCTAGTATGAATCAGGTCTAATTTTCTGTCGCCTACAGAGAGTTTAGGCACAAGTTTGTTTTGTCTTCAAAAACTATTTTTAAATTCTGGCACTGTTTCTAAAGTTATAGTTGACATATATTACGAATTCTATATTCTCAGAGTATTTGGTATAAAAAATGTTGATACAAAACTTGTCGACACTTTGGAAATACATAATCTTGACCAATTCTTAAATTATCTGCACTAATGTCATTTACTCTGTTGCATACGGTGTCGTTAAGGAACTAGATTATGGTGCTTTTTCACAAATATAACATTTTTTCTGCTTCCGTCTGTCTTCAGGTTTTTCCCAGCCAGTGTCATAATGTAAATACTGTTTAGTAGCGAATAAAGGCAAACCTGTGACTATTCTGGCAGATTCAAGTTTGTTTGTTTTTGTTTTTGTTTAGAATCTGTAAAATGTTATAACCATCCCACATTTCACTTGCATATTCCAAAATACATCTGATAAATATAATATATGGTTTAGAGTTACCCTTAAAGTTACCCCAAGATGATTGTGTGTGACATTATTTGTCAACATCGTATTATTAAAATTCAACAGAAAATCAAGTCTTTCTACCGAACTAGTAAAACAACTAGGTCCGTTTTATTGGGATTAAAACTTAATTCCATTCCTTCGACCAGTGATCAATCACTGCTAAATCATGGTTCTTATAATATTCGATTTCTGCACTATTATTTGAAGAATTTCTCGGTACACCTAACAAGCACAGCGACAAAGGATAACCAATACTGTGTGATAAGTCAACTAGAACGTGTACAGGTAAACTTACAACATAGACGGTGAGGTGAACAGACCACTATTTTACCTGAGTTCCTCCCGTTTTAAAAAGTTAACAATGAAGTGTGCTATTTTACGACACGAGCTCCGCAAAAACATGCGATGAAGAACGTGCTAGTTTATGACCGGGGTCAAAATCTGTGTACACGGCGGCACATGAACATTATTGACGTATAGTCAGCGAACCATCTAGACATCACATGATGATTCGTTCTGGATAAGATTGGGTCGGCTTTTAAAAAGAGCGATACTCAAAGAAAGCACAGGAAGACAAGTCTGTTCTCCGATACAGACGTAACATGGACGGGGTGCTATCATTGCTCGTGTCATGTGTATGGGCGTTTCTTTTGTTGGTTTGCTGTGGGGAGGCCAAACCACCGAATATAGTGTTCATGGTCGCTGATGATTACGGTAAGATTTAGTTTAAGTAGAAGATATGTAATCTCTGTTCATGTATCTTAATAAAGATAGGGTATGACGATGTGTCCTCTCTCTCTCTCTCTCTCTCTCTCTCTCTCTCTCTCTCTCTCTCTCTCTCTCTCTCTCTCTCTCTCTCTCTCTCTCTCTCTCTCTCTCTCTCTCTCTCTCCAATCAATGGGTCTTTTTTGTATCATTTCAAAACGATATTATCCCTAATTAAACCGGATAATTTGTAGATATATGTAAATGTTTCATACTGTAATAAGTTTGAACTGGTCGATGACTCCTTAAACTTTAAATCGTCTTGTTTACAAATATAATCTTACAAAAGATATGGATATGTAAAAGCTAACTACGATATCAAACACCTTTATGAAATATTAATTATAAATGCATTGTATGTACTTAGTTAGAAGAACAATTTTTAGAACGAGTGACCTTCAGAGTCTATAATTTCATTCTTGCAATCAAAATGGTTTATAACTTTATCAGGACAGTATATTTCCAATATATGGAAACGATAGTTTTGTACATGTAATATCATGATAGTTCGTTGTTGTCAGTTACACATTTATTACAGGTTGGAATGATGTGGGCTTCCGCAACCCCGATATGATCACACCCAACATCGACAAGCTAGCATACGAGGGAGTTATACTGAATCAATCCTATGTACAGCCAGTATGCACACCGTGAGTATCACTTCACATATTTTAGGGACTATGTGAGAGAGTTGTTATCGAGATTTAAGGGGTCTAGAAATCAACTGATATTTTTTGTAAGTTCAATAAAAATAAAGATACCATGTAACATTATTAAATATGTAGACCGTTGGTGGTTTAACTAATATTGAATCAGTCCTATGTACAGCCATTATGCACACGTGAGTATGGTGTTTATTATTATGATATAGAGATAAAGGAAACCTCCGTAAAACGGTCAATATATAAAGGTATACTGTATCCTTATCTGTTAAACCTCCGTAAAACGGTCAATATATACAGGTATACTGTATCTTTATCTGTTAAACATCCGTAAAACAGTAAATATATACATGTATACTGTATCCTTATCTGTTAAACCTCCGTAAAACGGTAAATATATACAGGTATACTGTATTTGTATCTGTTCAACATCCGTAAAACGGTAAATATATACAGGTATACTGTATTTGTATCTATTCAACATCCGTAAAACTGTAAATATATACAGGTATACTGTATCTTTATCTGTTAAACCTCCGTAAAACTGTAAATATATACAGGTATACAGTATTTGTATCTGTGAAAACAGTAATGTTTCAACAATGCATTGTTGATTTCTAATATGGTTTCATTAATCTAGGGGGGGATCGATTTTAATTTCTGATGTTGTTTAATAAGCATCATCATTGTCATTTTCGGTGAAATATTCCTAGAAGACACCTGTTAGTGTACGCGCGTGAATCTTTCACGATATTACTGCTTATTTGAGCAGAAAATACGTTCACACTTACAATCTTATAGGAAATTCTAAATCACTTCTACCATTGATAAGGTTGGAATTCATCATATTTCTTACTTTGTCAGTAATTAATTCCAAATATAAACAAATTGATACGTAAAACATGTGCAACAAACAAAACTGATGTTAAAAACATTTGGTGCAAATGACTTTACATTTGATTCGAAACAAAATTATACGTGTCTGGTGAAATATTCCAACATGTTATAAATGGCCTATTTATTAAACTGTAAAATCATTCACGATAACATGAACATATACTAGAACTATTGTGTAGGCGTAATTTGTGTCATTATAATGCTACAATGTAAATCATTCATAAATCCTGTTGTCTCTAACGTATAGGTCTAGGAACGCTTTCATGACGGGAGTGTATCCTTTCAAAGCTGGACTGCAGGTAATGTACACACTGTGTAGGATATTAGTAACACGGTGATAATATGTGATGTGGTTTCGTTTTTGCTTACATTTCTGTCTTTATATGATGAAGCAGAAGACGCTTACCTTTCACACCTACCACGGCCTTTATGTTAAACATATATTTCACTTATGGCTTAGCAAGAGTAAGCTGTTTTCATTGTAATTTAGTTTTAAATCGATTTTACAAACTTGCCGGTAATTGTGTGTCTTTATTCTAAAAGCATAGATTTGGACAAACACCAAATTGGTTAAGGCTCACATGTGCGTTAAAAATAGTAAAAATTACATCAACAAATTAAGCATTTGATATGATTGATATGATTCTTTACATTGAGACATCTTGTATAAAGTGGCTTAGTTTTTCTCATTGAGAAATATTCTATTTCTTTGTCCGATACCTTGCTCTCATTGGACATTACTTACTTGGATTGACCAAGATTTACAAGGCGGGTGTCGTCCAGAACACCTGGTCTTATTCTTTCATTTTTGCAGGAATCTTCATGTAAATCTTTCTTTCTTCAGTATTTGCTCGATGTTTATAGACAATCCACATAAGACCACTAACGCAGTGAAGATCATAACATCAGCTTCCTTAGAAACATTCCCGAGTATGGTCGAGTCCGACTTCCAAGATCCTGAAGTAATTTGTGCAGTTGAATTGACATTTAGGGTTGACCACAATCAATCATATACACTCATTTACACCAATTCAAAGCATATAAACAGGATATTTCTAGCGACCACGAGTGTGGCGACAAGTTAGCAGAATTCCAATCCAAAGGCAAAAAAATGATTCAGCTTCTCCATAGGGAAATATTTATACGGAATCCTCTTACAAGGCGTTAATAAGACCAGGGTTTCCGGAAGGAGAAGCGTGTTCATCTCTATCGGCGAACCTAGCCATTTAATTCTTGTCGGTTTAAGTAGAAAATGGTTGATTTTTTTGCGTTCTCGGATGATAAAATGGAAACAACAACAGAACCAACAGACACAATAAAGAATTTCAAACACATCTGAATTTGTTTAACAAAAAAAAAAAACAAAAACAAAAACAAAAAAAAAAAACAAAAAAAAAAATGAAAAAGCAATCATGAATTTATTACATGTTAGGTAAAATATCCTGGTTCTCTCTTAAATATGGCACAAGCTCCTTCTATCAGTAATTCTCTTTTTATTCCATAGCATGGTGCGTTATTACCTGGAGAAGCTGTATGTTCACCATTCAATAAACCGTTTCTCCCAGAATATTTGAAGAAACTGGGTTATGAAACTCATGCTATTGGAAAGTAAGTATGATTCGAAAATATTGCTTCTACGTGTCTACCGTATTTCTGAGATTGATATAATCGTCTTAATGACCAGAATCATATACTGATATGTTGAAACCTATATATTTTTTTTCAATTTCTGTCATCAGATGTTCAAAGCTTTGTGTGAATTTTTCAGTGGTAATTTAGATTGTTGATCCTGCAAATATACTTTGAAACCTAAATGAACATTCAAAAATATAAATTTTACCTGCTAACGAAATTTTAAAAAAAGTTTGAAGTCTTGTTTAATTTACATTTGAAATGCTCAATAACCACTGGCTAACTTTAACCGACTTTTAGGCAACTGGACGTAGACACGTCCTCGATAGTGTTTTAACGCATTCGAAAATACGATCACAGACCGGTATTCATCGAAATCGATATTGGAAATTATTACAATATTGTATATATGTAAAACTTCATCTCTTTAGAAACATCCAAGTACTCTCAGCTTCTGTTGAAATCCTGGTTTTGTTTGTTATATTCAATTACTATAGATTATTTAAATTTTGTTTATATTGCCATAGTTCTGTATTTATTCTGTAAATGTTACTTCATTAACATTAGCTTTACGTATTTTTGTATATATTCATCATAACGAGCCTGTCTGCAGTTGTGTGTCTTTCATACAATCTTAGAGATTTTAGGCAGTATACTCTACGGATGCCATTTAGACTCCATAGTTTGTTTATTCGAATGGTGCCACGACACGGTTCAGAATAATCATATTTACCTGACTTTTGTGTGAAATTATTAGATATATATTGCAATTACAAAATTGATTGATTTATGACGTCACGGCGCTTCCCCATTTACAATGTAATATTTGACATTTGTTTTGATAATTTTTTTCCTAGTTAGCATTCTTGGTTTCAAAATGTAGGCCGTTAACATTACTGACACGTCATAGAATTACGAAACACCTGTATGATGCTGTTTACTCATTGTTCAACTCTCCTGTTTGTATGTCTGATATATCATTTCATTTAAGTGTTTCTTTGATATTTGGTGGTTTTCTTAATGCAGCGCATTGGTACAACATATTAGTATATATATATTTGGTTGTTAATTTGAATATATCTAGGCGATATATAATCATTGTTGTCTTGGATAGCTTATTGTACTTTGCAATGTACCTTTGTTAATTTTTAACGCTTTCAAATTTCTTTTTGTTTCAGGTGGCATCTTGGATTCTGTAACTGGAATTGTACCCCAACCTACAGAGGATTTGACTCATTCTATGGGTTTTACCAGGGCCAAGAACATTACTATAACCGTACTGTAGGTTGGTAAATTTTACAAAAGACCTATCTGTTCAAAATATAGTTCGCTGTTATCATCAGTTCAAAATTTATAGATAACTAAGATGTATGTAGAGCTATCGTTTTGCAAGCATCTTGCTTAAAATTATGTACTTCGTTTATATTCGTATCTAGGGTGTAACTATCGTTTTCACTGTTTACGGTTCCATATATTTTGACATGATATCGTATCTAACAGTGACGTGTTAAAGGAAGGGAATTGTATAATGGATTTTGGATTATCATTTGGTTATACTATTACAGTATCGACGGCCAAAAAAGCACAAATGATTAGCACTTTTCAATACTTTAAAATAAGAGACTGTAGATGCAAAATTATTAATTAAAATGCATTACACAGCAGGACCGCATTTACAGGACTTGTCACGAATCTGATAGACTGAATTTTTGAAAACTTAGTAGGTGACTGAGGTGAATCGTTATTGGCCAAACACATATTAAAACCAGATAGAGGGAATAGAGAGAGAAATTTCATAATGTTCAATATTGAACGATTTCAGAAGAATGTCAATTCAATAGCATATGCATATGGGTATGAGACCCAGAAGACTGCGGTATTACATTGTGCACTTGAAATAATTTAGAACTGCTATGCAACTCAAATTGCACTGATATTTTTAAAACAGCCGGCGGTAAGGATTTCAGAGACGATAAACAAGCCGTTATGCCCGATGTCACGAAATATTCAACCGTAAGTAAATAAACATGTTAAAATACATATAATTTTATTAAAAGGCACAATGCAACTGCAACGCACAGAGGTAAAAGATTATATTTTTCCTCTCGTACCAGTTTTGGTTATCCATACTTCCCCTAATATTTTCTTATTTCTTGAATTACTTTTTTAAAATTTAGATTAATTGCTAGTATCAATTTAAGAGTAATGCATAATCGACTCGCGTTGTATATACGTTGCTTTCAATATGGAAGAAAACAACAAGAAAATACCAGCATGGCAACATAATTATAATCCAAACTCAAATTCCATAAAACTAGGACAAAATATGAACTAAACAAAGATTTACACGGAGACTCCTGAAAAGGCACAAAGAAAATAAGACCAGGTGTTCTGGAAGAGAAAGCGTATTCTGCTTGATCGTTGACACCTGTAATGTTAACTTTGGTCAATCCGAGTAAGAAATGTCACGTTCTCAAAGGAAAACAATGTATGCAACAGTGGAACAAACAGGCAAACTAACGAGCGTCAAACACGTCCAGCTTAGAAAGCAATAGGATATTTCTCAGTGAGATCAGTATGGCGACCATAAAACTTCCCCATAATTATCTCTCTTACTGCGTATGCAGTTGTAGTAAAAATTGATTTCTTTTTGTTTAGATGTGTTGCAATGAAGGATATTAACATAAAGAGAATAGAAAACAGAATTAATGTTTATAATGTTTTTGAACAATCATAACGAAATAAATCACAATGATAAAAAAATCGTTACGTTTTCAAGGGTTATTGAGCAATCGTTTCTAATAATTCATAGCTTGTCTTTAATTGTTCGGAGTGTTATATTTAATATTTGTATGGTTATATTTTTCAGTACATCTATGCTGATCGTGCCAAAAAGTTGATATCCCAACACGACAAGACAAAGCCGTTCTACTTGTATTTCCCGTTTCAGTCTGTCCACGAACCGATAGAGGTGACGTTCTGTATTTACATAAATTCATTAATCATTGCTTGCCATGAAATATTATCAATAATTATCGACATTACATAGAGACTTACATGTATTACAACATTGTTAAACCCTGAGGAAACAGCGGGATAGGGAATCGAGAAATGGGTGGCGGGGATGGGGTGGCGGGGATGGAGTGGCGGTGAGGGGATGTGGTGACATTTTCTGTTATCATAAATAATACCTAGAAAATACTCAAAATCCATACCTACAGCAAAGCATAAAAAAGGAAAGATTAACACGAGGACTCCTGAAAAAGTACAAGAAGAATAAAACTAGGTGTAAGTAATGTCACGTTCTCTAATAAGAACATGGTTTAAAACAACGGAACCGACAGGAAAACACCTTCAGCTCATATCACACAAAGAAATAGAATATTTCAAAACGGGATCACTATGGAGACCATAAAACTTCTCTAAACTATTTATCAACTTTCATCTTTTGAACTCCTGTGTTACGCATTTGTTCGTCAGTTGACGATAATCACAATAAAGGGAACAGGCCCTCGAATATCGCAACAACTGCGACATGTAAACGCGAAAGGATGAGGATGCAAGATATTGCTATCAGGAGATGAAAAATTCACTAAAGGGAAATTGAAATCAATACGCCCATGTTGGTTTCATTGTAGGAAAAGATTTATTTTAGAACTGAACTTGTTTTAGAAGAGACATAGATTTGTATCGTGAAAGACATCAATAATGTGATTAAAATATTCTTGTTTCAGGTTCCTGTGAGTTACGAGAATATGTATAGTAAAATCAAAAGTGAGGGAAGGAGAAAATACTGTGGTAAGTAATGTAAACTAAAACTTTGTGATGGAAAAAAGGAGGCAGCCTACACTTAGGTTACTTACTTTGTCAAAATGTGTATATACTTTGTCTTAGTTTTGGCATATCTATCTTCCCTTTATTGAAATTTTCAGCAGGGAAGTTATTTTAAGGAATATTCAGTATTTATCAGAAATGCATAATCCTATGATTTCTCATATGGTTTGTCTTTGTAACAGTTATATAAATATATATCAAATAACATTTTGGGTGTTTTTAGAAACTGTAATGTTGTCATACTTTGGTTTATCCAGATCAATCGAATGTCGTTATTTTCAAAACAATTTATGAGAAACGTTAATTACTCTTTATTTCAGGTCATTTAAAAAGGCTTTACCTGTATTTTACGTTTTCGAACGAGGTTGAAACGAGTTCTCATTAACTGCCTCATCATCATTTGCTATGACAACAGGCTCAGTTTCATAGGAATACTACACTTTACTCAGTAAAATAGCTGTACAAAACAGGTAGTTACAGAAAAGGATGGGTATAAGTCTAACTTAACGAACTTTTCTGTCAAGGTATGGTGACGGCTATGGACGACCTGGTTGGGAATGTGACGGCCGCCCTGAAGGAGAACGGAATGTATGATGACACACTCTTCGTCTTCACTGCCGACGTAAGTGAAATTATAAATCCTGATTTCGATGGTGCGGTATTTAAATTAGGCAATATACAACATTGCAGTCAGGGTTTCTCAAGTCAGGAACTTAATTGTAATAGTAAACTTCGTTGTACGGCCAACGCAATACTGTGAGATAGTTACACCAAACTTTTCATAGAGATATGTATATCGTCACTTCTAGAATTCCCCTATTTACTAAACCTTGTTTTTTCTTTGTCTTTCTACGACACACTTTAGAATGGAGGATGGCCAATATTCCATGGTAACAACTACCCTCTACGAGGTGGAAAAGTCACCGTGTATGAGGGAGGCACTCGGGCAACAGCATTCATTAATGGTAAAATGCTAGAGAAAACAGGATACACTTACAATGGGTGAGAGATTACCTTACATATTGTAATAGGATTAAAAAGATCAGAAATTTTCCGAACGTGAACTCGTTTTAAAGTTTTAAAGAGCATTAAAGCTGTTCTCTGATACAGTTCAGTATTTTTTGGTCTATATTCTTTCTGCTTAAATTTACTTTATTATACGTCATTTAACCTCTGTATACAATATTCTGTCATTCAAAATAATTTTATTGATGTGTTTCCGAAGATCAATCAGTTGTTCGGTGATTTTGTTCATAATTTCAATGATGATATTCAGATTATCTATCATAAACAAGAAACACAGAAAACTTTATCATAGTAAAGTGTAACAGAGATAATAGCTCTGAATTATCTATTAGGATGAGGCCCACATAATGCGTAACATTTATCAACAAACGTTCACAATATGGAAAACCGTTCTTAATCAATACTAACACAAAATGATAACTCTCTTAGATTTATTCAGAAATATCCGCAATAGTTGATAAACTTGAACAAGATAATAATGTATATGTTATATGAGTTATCGTATGTCATCTTTATGAAAATATCTCTACATAGATCAATTGTATAGCAATATGTATAAAACTTGCTTTAATGATGTATAGAGTCAAAGAGATCCATTCATATTTGTTCCAAACGGTGAAGATCTCCTGAAAAGTTCTAGCGTGAGAAAAAAGCAAATATTACTTTAAATAATCTTGTGGTCAACTTACCTTAGCGAAATACACCTGCATATTTCGGCGATAAATAATGATATCGTAAATTACACAGCCACCATGTTATCAAAGAAGTAATATTTATTGCATCAGTTTTGTTACTTACACACATGTATAACACTCTGCCAAACCAAAACGGCTAAAATTGTCTGTTATTTTGTCATGACTTTGTTACGTCAAATGAATTGTGACGTCACTTTGTGCAGAAATATGAAGTGAAAATATCGTCCTTTGGATTAATGACAGTCTTGTAATATGATTTCTTTTCATGAAAACTTACAGACGTACATCTTGTAGTAAGGTTTGTGATAAACAGAATCCAGCATTCGTACAATTCAATCTACTTTATTATGAAATTGGTTTTGATTTTTTAATTCATTTAACCTCGACAGAGGCTCGTTAAAACAATTTCTAATTCTTATATGAAATGTAATATCCTCAATATCTGTTTGAAAATTTTCTGTTTATTTTTTTTCTAAAAAGCATGATGCACGCCGTTGATTGGATGCCAACCATATTGTCTGCTGCAGGTGGTAAAGTTGGTAGGTATAAACATTACCATAGGTATATCATTATCTAATCGCTTGTCGTTTCTTTAATTGGAGAATGTTTTGTTTATAGATTTAATGTTTTCATGAAGTTCTACCTTTTTCTTTCTTTTCTGTTGTTTGTGTGCTCATGTGTGTATAGGGGATGTGAGTGTAATTTAAACTAGTTGATTCTCATAAATTTCAGAATATAACTTTAAGAATTTCGTGTTTCGTATGGTTTTGTACTTCCTTCACCATTTCAATGAAATTGGTCCGCCAGTGGAGGTATGTGTCATATTGATGATAAATTATGACATGCTAGACGTCAAAAATAAAGTTATACAATCGTGTTGCCACAGAATCGGAAGTCGACGGCATTGACCAATGGGATAATTTGAGGACTGGTGCCGATTCCAGTAGAACCGAGTTCATCTATAATTTGGACGATAAGAATCCCCCTTTGCAAGGTCATGCGGCTATCAGGTAATCAGTGCAAGCAACAAAACACAAACGTAAATGAATAATTAATTGATTATGTATTGATTGCCATTTTCTTTTGGATAGAAGTATGAGTTATTTAAAGACGGTACTTCACAATTATATTTCGTGAATTGTAAAAACTCCAGAGAATATTGTTATATCTGGGGTTTTATCAATCGTCTTTGTTTCGCTGATGTTTGTTACCATTGTGTATTAATTGAACTATGTTACCTTATGTGTGTGTATTTCAATCATATGTGTCGTTGCATACGGAATAAAATCAAACTGACTCATCATTTTCAAAAATAAATCAATAACGAAATAAATCGATAAACGAGTAAATGTAAAATAAAGACTTGATGAAATGACGTAGATTAATGTAAAATACAGACTTGATGAAAGGACGTAGATTAACTCGAATTAATAATTTTATATGAATTCTATCGTTTCTTGAATTATTTTATATGAGTTGTACAATTTTTGAACTGTGGCAAATGGTTCCTTATTCTATTTATGTCCGGATGTTCTACATCATTGAATATATTCGCCTGAATACATCTTGCTTTCGCATTACTGAACAAAAATCTTCGTTTTGACATTTTCAAAACTTCAAAAAAAATTCAATCACCGTTAATGCTCATTCGGTACACATTTTGATGAACTAAATATTTTCGATAACTGAGTTGGTTTGTATCACGGTCTTTCTCAAACAGAGTTGGTGATTACAAACTGATCGAAGGCTTCCCAGGACTTTATCCAGGATGGTATAAACCGGAGGAAGTGGCGGTGGAAGTAAGCTCTAACCCGAAGGAATGTGGATTTAACACGACAGATAAAGAGCAAAATGATAAGCCTGATAAAGTTAAATGGCTGGGGAGAGAGCTGTACAATCTGAAGGGTACGTAAAAACGGTTGGTCATATACTAATTTCATGAGCTGAGTGCAAGTATGTATATAAAATATGAATTAAACAGTAACACATAAACTGAACTGTATGATAAAAGTTCATCTTACATGTAGTGGTTTCAGATATCATTCATTAATGCAAATTGGCAAAAAGAGAAATACGAAAATGAAGTTGTAAGAAAAAAAATCGACAGTTAAATTTCAAAAGGTGTGCACTTATCACTTAATTCGATCCATGTTTTGTATTCGATTATTCTATAAGGACATACATTTATAGGTATTATATAGAGGATATTTAATCATGTCTTCTGTTCTGCGCACTCGTGAAAGATACTAAAATAGTAGACACATTTACGAAATATATGTGTAATTACCGGAGCCACTGTAAGATATTCTATTCATTACATTTTCACAAAATAGCGAAAATATTTAGATCAGATGTAAAAGGAGAGAGCTGACTAGGCTTTTAGGGTATAACATACTGATTATATCGCGACAAAATATGGTCCGTTTTTACAAAATCGTTCAAAATATGTTAACACAAAAATAAATATCGATATTAATTTATTTGTATATTTACATAGAAAATATTCCTTATTCATGTCAATAAAAGACAAAATATGCCGTAAAACTTTTAGAGAGTTTAACCTGTGACAGGTTACTACGCAGCTGAAAATATGGCTGCAATCTAGAGCTGTCACTGCTGATGACACGAAGACTCTTGAAATGTGTAACATGTTAGCTCCATTCATGGGGATTGGGTTTAATGTCTGATTAGGTCATTTATGTTGCATTGGGTGCCAGAATGTTGTCGATTATAAATATTACTAAAATTTGATATGAACTGCAGTCTTTTTTTCTCAAATTTTGTAAAAAGGTTTACCTTTTAAGAAAAGAATTCTTGAGCATACACTTGTACCAAAATTAATAATGAACATGAACAACCAACTTGATATAGATATGTAGGGTTTTTACGACGTTATTGGTGTATTGTTTATATTGTTGTTTTAGATGACCCATATGAACGTCACGACCTGTCATTGTCACACAAGGACATTGCGGATACACTGAGCGCAAAAATGGCAGAATATCATAAACAGATGATTCCCGCCAATGCTCCAGGAAATTCTCCTGCTTCTAATCCTCAGAATTACAACGGATATTGGACACCTGGCTGGTGTTGAAGAAATTCAGTATTACACAGGATCAATGATCATTTTTGTTGTCCAATAAGTTAACCTACACGAGATATAGAATATTTTGATTTAAATATATTCTATATAATTCACAATTTCAGCTGTAGACTTTTTAAAATAAGATTTTTTTCGAGAGGTTTCTTTTTGCCGCTATTCCTTGAAATATACCTTGGAAATTTCAGTTATCGAAATCAAACAATTTTTACAAACTAAAACAAGTTTTTTATTGCGATATGCACGCCAAAGAGCAAACGCCATGACAAAATAAGACAAAAAAAATCATGACACAAAAAGGATGTCTTAGATAAAGACTCCCACATCGACAACTTAAAAGACAAGCAAAACCTTAGACAAAGATAAAACATTGTAAAACATCAACATGATTATACGCCATATAAGATAATTTTATCTCGAATACAATATCTAACATCAGGAACAACAGAAATTCAAGTATCGGAAACGTGGGCACATACCATGTCAAACTGAAGTTAAGTAATGAATACAAGAATTTATGGTATGAAAAAGCGAAATGTTTACCATCTAGATCAAAGACAAACTGACCACAAAAGACCTTAAACGGTGATTCGTGTTATACAAGTGTTTATCTTTCATATATCTAGACAAACACTTTACAGTCACTTGAATTATATATCACTACATGATTTGTGCAACTCATCTTTTTCCATTTGGTTTGAAATTTCTATTAAATGTCTAAATTGTATTTTTGAAATTCTTTCTTTGTTTTCTTTGTTTGATCTCTTTTTTGTTTTTATCGTTTTATGCTTCATTTAAATATCCCGATGAAAAGACAAGGTACCACAAAGTCGAGATCACACATCCACAACAGGGACAAAACGTTTAATATACATAGATACTTCTACTACCCAGTCGTTACCTGATACATAGATACTTCTACTACCCAGCCGTTACCTGATACATAATACTTCTACTACCCAGTCGTTACCTGATACATACATAGATACTTCTACTACCCAGTCGTTACCTGATACATAATACTTCTACTACCCAGCCATTACCTGATACATAGATACTTCTACTACCCAGTCGTTACCTGATACATAGATACTTCTACTACCCAGCCGTTACCTGATACATAATACTTCTACTACCCAGTCGTTACCTGATACATAGATACTTCTACTACCCAGCCGTTACCTGATACATAATACTTCTACTACCCAGCCATTACCTGATACATAGATACTTCTACTACCCAGTCGTTACCTGATACATAGATACTTCTACTACCCAGCCATTACCTGATACATAGATACTTCTACTACCCAGCCGTTACCTGATACATAATACTTCTACTACCCAGCCATTACCTGATACATACATAGATACTTCTACTACCCAGTCGTTACCTGATGCATAATACTTCTACTACCCAGCCGTTACCTGATACATACATAATACTTCTACTACCCAGTCGTTACCTCATGCATAGATACTTCTACTACCCAGCCATTACCTGATGTGCTGTCACGGATCGCGCAGCCTTAATATAACGAGTGTCGATTAGTTACTCCCCTTGGTTTGCTCTTCAGTTATATAAAAACGTTGCTAGTACGTTGTGCTATGAAGCACATTTCCATGCATCGAATGCATACATTCCGTTCAATGTGGTTTGTGGCCCCATACACTGTAAGTTTTGTAATATAATCGGTTAAGCGTTATGCCTGTTTACTGAGTAAATAATGTTTTATGTGTTTTGTACATCTCAGTTTGCTAAATAACGCATTTTGTGTCAGTCATACTTGAGCTGATGTATTTCATTGTTTGTTTACAGTTTCACTTAATTCGTCAGTATGAATAAAGAGATTTGTCGCTGAACACCTGATACATTATACATACATTACCCAGCCATTACCTGATACATAATACTTCTACTACCCAGCCGTTACCTGATACATATATAGATACTTCTACTACCCAGCCGTTACCTGATACATACATAGATACTTCTACTACCCAGTCGTTACCTGATACATAGATACTTCTACTACCCAGCCGTTACCTGATACATAGATACTTCTACTACCCAGCCGTTACCTGATACATACATAATACTTCTACTACCCAGCCGTTACCTGATACATAGATACTTCTACTACCCAGCCGTTACCTGATACATAATACTTCTACTACCCAGCCGTTACCTGATACATAGATACTTCTACTACCCAGCCGTTACCTGATACATAATACTTCTACTACCCAGTCGTTACCTGATGTGCTGTCACGGATACGCAGCCTTAATATAACGAGTGTCGATTACTTACCCCCCTTGGTTTGCTCTTCAGTTATATAAAAACGTTGCTAGTACCCTATGAAGCACATTTCCATGCATAATGCATACATTCCGTTCAATGTGGTTTGTGGCCCCATACACTGTAAGTTTTGTAACATAATCGGTTAAGCGTTATGCCTGTTTACTGAGTAAATAATGTTTTATGTGTTTTGTACATCTCAGTTTGCAAAATAACGCATTTTGTGTCAGTCATACTCGAGCTGATGTATTTCATTGTTTGTTTACAGTTTCACTTAATTCGTCAGTATGAATAAAGAGATTTGTCGCTGAACACCTGATACATACATAATACTTCTACTACCCAGCCGTTACCTGATACATAGATGCTTCTACTACCAAGTTGTTACCTGATACATAGATACTTCTACTACCCAGTTGTTGCCTGATACATAGATACTTCTACTACCCAGCCGTTACCTGATACATAATACTTCTGCTACCCAGCCGTTACCTGATACATATATAGATACTTCTACTTCCCAGCCGTTACCTGATACATAGATACTTCTATTACCTAGCCGTTACCTGCTGCATAATAATTCTACTACCCAACCGTTACCCGATACATAGAGATTTCTACTACCCAGCTGTTACCTGATACATACATAGATACTTCGTTCGCCTTGATGTTTCAACTTTCAAATGAAACATGTCATTCATAATCATATTCCTACTTTCCAAAAGAAGAGGTATTCAATAAATATAAGGCAAAGTATGTACATAAGAAATATTTACATGGAGGCCCACGACAAAGTGTAAGGAGGATGAGACCAGGTGTTCCCGAAGAGTAAACTGATTTTGCTTCATCCACATATAAGTAATGGTAATGTCACGTTCCTAATGAGAACACGATAAACAGCAATCATCGAGACGTCCGACTCAAAAAACATTTTCTACTGAAATAATTATGATGGCCACAAAATTTCCAATTATCACCTTAAACTGCATTTCTGTGTCGAGAGTTTGTCCGTCAACTGCCGAGAAAAATGAGATATCGGGAAGGAGCCCACGAATATTCACAATTGGGAAATTAAATTCATCACGCTTAGGATGCAGCTTAGTCGAAATCTTTCTCTATTGGTTTTGTTGTAAGAAAAGATCGAGGTCCGCGCCTTGTGTGTTGTTGATTTCCTATTCGGTCGGGTATGTACGACAGGCATTGACAATAAATAACTTTATGCTAAATTATATTCTCGTATGAAAACAAAAACAAGTCACACAAGAGAGGGACGTCGTTTAGCATACCAGGTGTATTGTAACCACATATTAGTGTCGCCGTTGGCCTTTCTTCTAAAAAACCCCTTCATAACAATAGAAAGAAGGCGTTCCTTAAGTTTTGAATGGGATAAAGAAAATCAATAGCACTAATCGAAGAAATGCTTTTAGAAGAAGGTGTTGAAGATCGGTCGAAATCTCTTTTCTGCAATTTTGAAATGTAATCTCCTTGTAAATTGGAATTAAAAAACAAGAAGAAATTATCAATATACCAACATATTCATATCAATTTGTAAAAGTAGGCAAAATATATGAACAAAAGAAAGATTTTCACGGAGATTCCTGAAAAAAGTACAAGGAGGATAAGACCAGGTGGTCCGGAATAATTAGCGCCTTATGCTTCGTCGACGACAGCCGCCATGTAAATCTTTGTCAATCCGAATCGTATGATTTTAAAAGTGAATTGATCGATATATAGCCAAAAACTGATCACTTTATATGTATAAAGAATAAAACACAGATTAGTTTAATAGGTCAATCATTTTTCCCTTCAATTGTAATTACTACTAGCTGCTCAAAAGTGATATATACATGTATATTTTACCAAATGTTATAGCAAACGTTAACTCGTTTAATTCGAATGCTTGTATTACTCGATATCTTTTCGCACCCCCGACGACTTCGCATTACCAAAGTTAATGTGACTATAGTTGTAGTGCTTCTAATAATGTTTTTTGACAGATTGCATAATGCATAGGTGGGGTTCCCTTCGTTATCAAGGTCCCTTCGTGAAATCTCTCGTGACTTAACACTTTGAATATTGCTTAAATAACCAGTTACTAAGTGCCCGCTTTGACCATGGCTATAAGGGAATATAGAAAGATATTTTGTCATCGTTAAGTGTTGTTACAACAGAATCTGACTACAATAACATAATACAGATATTAAGTACATCGTCCTTTTCACAAAAGGGATAAAACATATCTCCATTAACTTATGATGCACTTTCACTGACTCATTGTCCAGATTTCTTTTGAGTGTTTGCATATTTTGATAATTTGATAAGTTAGGTCATTTCATGGAAAAGTGTATGAGCAAATATAGAAATGAAATCAGATAAAAGATGCAATTCACAGTATTTAACAATTAAATAAACGTACGCAACGGTAACATATGCTTGAAAAGGCGTGACACAGTTATTGGAAATATAGGTCATATCGATTACTTTCTTTTCCTATCTCCGAAGGTGTTCGAATTGTTCATACCAAAAGTTGATTTAATGTTGATATATCTTCTATCATGGCATTTCAGTTAGGTTGTTGACGTCATATGTTTACGATATATTTGTTTGCTGACGAAAGAACGCAGCATATTGTAAGATGTTTATTAGACTTCTACTAAAGAACTGTTTATGATATATCTTCAAGGCACTCAACTTTCGTAGTTTTTCAAACTTATTTTCAAATAAAATTTTGGCCTTGATTTTGCGGATGAAATGTACCCCCAAATGAGAGCCACGCAAAATGATAAATACATGTATATTTATATGTCAAAGTTTAAATAATATAATGATCAGTTGACATGACTATAATTTCAAGGACCAAGAATGCTAAACAAAACCTAAATCCCTCACGGATTTTCGTTATTCTATATCACATAGTCTCCTGGTACTTCACTGTTCTCCTTCGAAGAATAAATAACAAGCATGTCATATCCTTTGATTTATAAGTGAAGTATATTGAAAAATGTAAATATCACAACTGTTATATATCTTATTTCGAGAATGAAAAACTAGCTATGTCATTGGATTTCGGTAACTCATACGTCAACAAATTTAATAGTTAGCACCATCCCAGGGTCCAAAACCAAAAGCCATTGTAGTGGTACTCAGCGATCTTTTTACTTAGTTGATCCGTTATGTCTTTGTGTGATAGCGAGAGGTCTTTGTGGTCATACGGATCATCTACACAGATAACAAAAAATAAATATATCACAACATCTAGACTTTCTTCGAAAGTGAGGGGGAAACGCGTTTCATCAATGTATATATATAGTATAAGTTTAAATAAAAGCAAATATATATATATATATGTGTGTACGATCAACAAACCATTGT